GGGTAGGGTGGAGTGTTAGAGCTACATGGCCCTCCAAACGGAGGTTTTTCAGAGGCAACACTCCAAACAGAATGTTATGAGAAAAAAAACACAGTATTATCTTAGTTTTATGTTGTTTCAGTGTATTATGGTCCTTTTCTTTATAACACGCATTAAAATCTCTAGTAGTAGCTGATGTCTCGGTAGCTAGCTAATTTTCCTGTTCCACCTTAAATGGTGCAGCAGTTACATTCTGGCACCTCAGACATCGGAACTGCTGCTTCATTTAAGGTGTAACGGGAAAATACGTTGGGGAATAGCTGAAGAATTAGTGGTGGGTGATAATAAATAATCGTCCCTCTTTGAAAGTATATGATGCCCTAAATGTAAATAAAGCCCAGCAGTGAGGAGCTGAACTTTACCCTCCTCTGCTGTCACTGCAGACTGGCAGGGTCGCCTACAGAGCAGCGCTGGTAGCTGTTAATGAAGTAATGCTCTTTTTATTTGAGGGTCCCATTTCATAGAGGAAGATTTCAACCACTACCCCTTGTAAGTATGTTCCAAGGGGCAAGATGACACTCGAAAACAAGGGGTAGTGGTGAAAATAAGAAATAGGGTTGGGCCTAATTTTTCCCGGGGTGGTTTAGTAATGATAAAATAAAAACTGTGAAAGCTTAAATATGACAGTCATAACCCTCAGTCCGCTGCAAACTCATGCTAGCTGAGCGAGTTAAGGTATGCATTTCTCACTGCCCACCTGCTCGGATATGTCGTCATCCTTCATAAGTAGCTTTTTCATTCTTGTCTTCTCAGCTCCACTTTTTCCACTGTTATCCATCTTCACATGATCCACATATGAAAACTGCTATGTCGGTAATGCAAAACCATTTAGGAACTCTTTAGAGCACCAGCATCAGATTCACACCATTGCACTGAATTTTATATGCTAATCTCTCGAGGCTGATGTTACCTTCTCATTTGAATTTCTGTTCAACCTTAAATTCAGGCGTCTGAACGTGACGGCTACATTTAAGGTGGAACTTCAGCTTTATCTCATTCTTATTCACTGTACGAGACTCAATCAGTTAGAATTAGCAAACCGAGGCTGCACCACTTGAGGTTGGGGGCGCTGGTTTATCCCCTACATTACTACAGATATACACTCGGATGTAACTACTGCAAGGAAAACCAGCACAAACAAGCATGGCTGATCATCAGCAAAGCCAGCATTTGTTGTGTTTTGGATGCAGGTGTGCTGGTCAACCAGCTTGACCATGTTGGGTGACCAGCATACCAGCACAAAGCAGCATGTTGTTCACCAGCAAAACCAGCATATGTTGTGTTTTGGATGCTGGATGCTGGTATGCTTGTCGACCATGCTGGGTGACCAGCTAAACCAGCACTAGACCAGCATAAACCAGTTGTACTGTCTTTTTCAGCAGGGATAATTATAGTTTGTCTGTGTGTCTTGTGCTCATATTCATGAGTTTATACACACAGTAATCAGCCCAAAATGCTACCGGCCCACTGGGAATTCTCCCGACTCTTCCAATTTCCCACTCCGGCACTGGGAAACCCGAAGTTTTGATGTGTTCTTGTGTATGCGGTGGACATGAGGCCCACCCTCCTATATTAAAACAGCAGTAGAACATCATAATAAATCTGCAGCTGCAGTCATTTAGTAATAAGGCCTTTGTCTTTTTTTTTCAAAGCAGCTTTTCGTAAGTCATGAACGCTAACAATCCCTCGCATTTATGAAAGACATCACAAACCTAAGCAGTAAATAAGAACGCAATGTGTGTCATTTGGGGATGATTTCTATCCTTTAAACAAAACAACAACTCTATCCATTAAGATAATCACCATCATCATCTCTGACAAAAGACCTAAATTACCGCTCTCCCTCGGTAATCTCTGATTAATCTCACTAAGAGCTTGATGATGTCCAATCCATGAAATTATATTTGGGCTAGAAGAGGTATTACTACAGTATGAATTGCAGACCTATTCAAGCTCAAATGGATTTATTTCCTGCATTTTATGTTTCTCCAGATTTGGACGCAGTCTTAATGTTTTCCCTGTTGGCAACATGCCTGACTCAACTCACCAGCTCATTACGGAGCCCTTCATGAGGGTAAAATGAGTGTGGTAGAACAGGAAAACACTAAGGATGTGTCCAAATCCTGTATTTCTGCTTTAAATAGTGTGCCAACATAGTACTTTAGAAAGATTACAGTGTCCAAAATCATTGAAAATCACAGACAAAAATCCATTAACTGGACAACAGAGCTGACAAAGAGTTGAAGTGTGTGAAAAATGGACACCATTAATTCTGTACTTCCAGCAATACGGAATTTCTAGTGTAGACAATTGCCACTCAGTAGTGTGTTTTGGGTTTGTCAGACACTAGAGGGCGCTCCCAAGCCAGTCCTAAATGAGTGGGATCCTATGGAGCTTTTGTATAAAAAATAATTATTTGTAAATGCTTAATAACTTTCATACAGAACAATCAAATATAAAATATATCAACACCACTGATGTTGGAACTCCAATTATAGGACTTTCTAACAGTGTCTTATGTATATTCATGACGTCAGTGAGCGCCAATGAGCTGATCAGCTCACCGACCAATCAGCACTCAGTAGCAGTAATGCCAGCCAATTAGCACTCAGTAGCAGTAATGCCAACCAATCACCCATATAACTCCTGAGTAGACTGATAAATCAATGTGATGATCAGCTATTAATCTCAGTGTTACTGAGCTCTGCTAAAGCCTGAGTAGACTGATAAATCAATGTGATCAGTTATTAATCTCAGTGTTACTGAGCTCTGCTAAAGCCTGAGTAGACTGATAAATCAATGTGATCGGTTATTAATCTCAGTGTAACTGAGCTCTGCTAAAGCTTGAGTAGACTGATAAATCAATGTAATGATCAGCTATTAATCTCAGTGTTACTGAGCTCTGCTAAAGCCTGAGTAGACTGATAAATCAATGTGATCAGTTATTAATCTCAGTGTTAATTAGTTCTGCTAAAGCCTGAGTAGACTGATAAATCAATGTGATCAGCAGTTATTAATCTCTGCATTATTAAACTGTTTTGAGTAATGATCTTTGACATGTTCATGAGTGATAAGCTCAGCATCAGTGTTGTACTGGACTCCTGCTTGGGGGATTGTGGAAGCAGTAGTGGAGCAGCAAAAAATGGGAATTTTGTAACTTCCTGCAAATGATAAGTGGACATTTCATTAAACATAGTGTTTACATGTTGTTGTTTGTTAGTGTAAAGATGTGTTATGTGTTGCTTTGTATCAGGGTGTGGGTTTAGTTAGTGTGTTTTGAGTTGGGGGGTTGGTTTACCGCCAGGGTGAAGCCTGTAGCTGGTGGTGAGCTCCACCTTGAGTTTGGTGCTTTGTATGTGCCTTTCTTCCTTGGTGTTTAATAAAAAGCACTCCTCATGGTGGAAATCGTGGTCTCGTCTGTGTCCTACTCTAGGACAGCGAGGAACGGTGAGAGTTAAATAAAATTTACAACAGCATGTGCCTTATCAATATGTCTTCTAAATGCATTCTGAGTGTGTTACTTCATTATGCATTGTAATGAAATATGAAGTATTTAAGTGTATTAAGTATTCAGCCATCACTACCTTTTTCAAATTATTCTGCCCAACCTTGTCTGTGGCTGTGAATGAATGCAGAAATGTACTGTAGTCCAGAGAGGCCATGAGGTAGTTATAATTTTCTGGGTTGTCATCTTGAGATAACGCGTTAACTATCTTAACTTTAAGTTATTTTCTTGAAATAACGAGTTAATTATTTTGTGATCTCAAGAAAACAAAATTGTTTTACTATGAAGCCCTGCTGATGACATCCCATATAAATAAAAATAATGCATGGCCTTACTAATGCATGGGAATGAGATCCTAATGCGTGGCCTTGACTTAGTAAGGTGTGGGAACAAGATCATGCCTTACTAAGTCGTGGTCATGCATTAGGATCTCGTTTCCACTCCTTTCTAAGTCACGACTTAATTATCTTGTTCCCGTGCCTTACTATACGGAGCCCTACAGAGCCCTGCTGGTGACATCCTGTATAAATAAAAATAATGTGTGGCCACGCATTATGATCTTGTTCCCACGCCTTACTAAGTCGTGGCCACGCATTATTTTTATTTATACAGGATGTCATCACCAGGGCTCTATGTGGCCACCACGTAGTAAGACGTGGGAACGAGGTCCTAATGCGTGGCCACGACTTAACAAGGTGTGGGAATGAGATGATTAAGTCATGGCCACGCATGGCCACGCATTAGGATCTCGTTCCCACTACTTGCCACAACTTAATTATCTTTTTCGCATGCCTTACTAAGTCATGGCCACGCATTATTTTATTTTATAAAGGGTGTCACCAGCAGAGCTCCGTAGTTTTCTGGAGATAACAAGTTAATTATCTTGTGATCTCAAGGCAACAAAGTTGTTATATTGAGATTACGTGTTAATTATATTGTGATCTCAAGGTAACAAAGTTGAAGTACTACAAGAGAGTTAACTCATTGTCTCAAGATAACATCTTTGTTATCTTGGGATCAGGAGACAATTAGCTCGTTGTCTCAGCTCATGGCGTCACCAGACGTCCATAGAAATGAATGCAGTAAGGTGCACTGGAGTCTTGGTGGGAGGGCCCGGCGTGGAAGCCAGAAATCCAGCGGCTCTTAAGACCATGGAGCTTTACAGCGGGCAACATCTGCTTGCCGCTCCACGATAAGAATGGGTTTTAGCCAGTGTTCACTCACATACGCTCTCTCTCTCTCTCTCTCTCTCTCTCACACACACTCTCTCTCTCTCTCTCTCTCTCTCTCTCTCTCTCTCACTCTCTCTCTCTCTCTCTCTCGCTCTCTCTCTCTCTCTCTCACACTCTCTCTCTCTCTCTCACACACTCTCTCTCTCTCCCCCTCTCTCTCTCTCTCTCTCCCTCTCTCTCTCTCTCTCTCTCTCTCTCACACTCACACAGTAATCTGACGGAGGAGAGAGCGGAGCGCGCTGTGCAGATGAGGATGGGAGCCCTTCTGTCCACATAATCTCATGTAGCGCTCCAACATCGAGGACACAAAAGTGGACCTGCAAGCGCCGATCTGCGGGGGAAGATCCCAGCTCTGCAAAATGAGGACAGCCATGGTAGCACTTTTCCTTTTTACTGTTAAATTCAAACTATTTCCACCACTGCTCGTTGCATTGTTCGTGAAGTGGGGCTGCTGCGGCGATTGCATTGCAACGGCACATTGCATTATCAGAGATTAAAGCTTAAAACAATAGAAAGCAGCCCTAAGCGACCCGCTCGCGCTGGGGTTAGAGTTTGTAGCACGAGGCATCCAGTATTGCACAAGTTGCTCTGTTATTTGCCAGCTGCTGGTTCGAATTGTCCGTTCCACCTTAAATGGTGCAGCAGTTCCATTCTGGCGCCTGTGGCATTTAAGGTGGAACGGAAAATTAGAATGAGGAGCCAGTTTCAGCCTCGTGAATTTGCAAATGCAAGTCTGGGGGCAAAACATTTCTGCATTTTCAGTCTCTGCTATTAAAAACTCAGTTATTATGTTTGATATGTTGGCCTCTTTTTGCAGCAAAGCAACCTGTAATCAACCTGTGATGGAGTTTTTCAAAGATCTTGTCTCCTTTATAGCTGCCAACAGGGTGTAATCAATATCTGATTTGCAGAAAAATAGTTTTCCCATTTGCACAGACAACTTTGCAAGCTTGCATTTGTGCTTTTCCAGCACTGAAGTACAACATGCATTGTTGTGATGCAGTTTTTGGAGCTTTCTTTTCGCAGTGCATGATGCTTTTGCACGTATTGCAGTGCTGACAGGTTGGAAGCTGCGCATCTTGATGTTGTTGACCTGGGATCTCTCTCTCTTCAGCGCCATGGAGCAGCCGTGTTTCTGGCCATCACCATGTGCACCAGCTTGTTCTTTGTGTATAACGTGAATAACAGCGATGGGGGCAGATCCAGCGATGGGGCCGGCCAGACAGTGAAGACCACCAAAGCTCCAGCCAAAGCCCGGCCAGCTCCTCCAGCCCTACAGGGCTACACCAGCATCATCGACCACAGTGTGAGTACCAGTCCTCACATGGCTTTGAATGGACACTCATGCATTTTTTTGAAACCTTATCTGAATCTGGCATTTGAAAAGCCATTAATTCAGAGTGTTTAGAAGAGAAGCCAATGGGGCAGATGCTGGGAAATGACTGTGCGCTACAGATGCAGGTTCAAAACTCCTTTAACAAGTGCGCACCGCTTCATTTGTTCAGAAAGCTTCTCAGGGGGCTTTTCCACTAGTCCAGTGGTTCTTTAATAGAGGTTTGACTGGGCCTGAAGCGTTGGTCCAAACACAAATACAGCCTGAGAAGCTTCAGTCTGAGCCAGATCAGACCTGAAGTACAGTCCAAACCTGACTTCCTGACCAAGATCAAGTTTTGAGTCCAAAACTGACCTTTGTCCAACAACATTTTGTTTGAAACTGACCCAACCTGACCCACATCATCAATTTTTAGTCCGAAACTGAGCCATGTCTGACAAAATTCTGTTTGAAACTGACCCAACCTGACCCACATCGTCAATTTTGAGTTAAAAACTGACCCATGTCCAACAAAATTCTGTTGAAACTGACCCAACCTGACCCACATCATCAATTTTGAGTCCAAAACTGACCCGTGTCCAACATAATTTTGTTTGAAACTGACCCAACCTGACCCACGTTGCAAGGTCCAAAGCTGTCTTGAGTGTAGGGCTGAAAAAATCTGACATGAATTAATCGGCTTAAATGTGGCCTGTTAATGTGAAGAACTGTACTAATAAAATGTTTGGCAAACTGAGGTTCTGTTTCACCAATAGCTAAACTACCATCACAGAAAAAATCTGATGTGTAAACCTGCTTATAACTTTGAGCTACAATACATAATAAGCTATAGCTAAAAATAAGTCATGTAATAATAAATATGTAGATCAACTTTTTTCAACATTTTAATATGCTAGTTCACGAGAAGAGCTCTGTGTGAACAGGTTTCTAGGACGCCATTTTTCCACGTGAAAATTGTGTTTACAGTATAAGTTGTGTTTTAAGCTAAATAGCCAGTGGCACGTAGTCAAATGATGCAACAAAGTTAAAAAATGTGTGATAATATTAATGGCGATAACATGCTATTAGAACTATATTACATTACTATGTTAAAAAAACTCCCAGTCTTTACTTCTTTTCAAATTTCAGCTAAAATTGATTATTTTCTTTTGCTATCTGCTCACAGAGGTACAACACTTGAGGTGTACTGCTGCCCTCTTCAGGTCAAGTCGTTAACTGCCTCTAGGTTGGATGTCACTTCAAACGGAAAATCGAAAACGGGAATATTTGTAGTCGACATTAACAAAAATGACGAATAATTATTTCAGTACTGGTCCTGGATTGCAGTTTGCTTTCAATGGGGAATCACCGTTCAGAGTCCTGTGTGGTCCAGCTCCCGTATCCACAAAGCTTCTCAGATCAGGAGTGCTGATCTAGTATCTGTGTGCAGTTTCACCTTGTCTGTTATTATAAGCTCGGCTCATATAGTGACTTGGGTTTAGCACAGTGCACTTTTCCAAAAAAATGCTACCTGAGATAGTTTTTACAGACTTTTAAAGGGGTATTCCTCTGATTTTTCTGCATAATTCAATTGGTGAGACGTAAAGTCATTCAGGGTAGTTTGGTGTGAAATGGTTGATTGTAGAGACTCAGATTTCTTTACAGTGGTGGTGATAGGAACCAGGGGTCATCATGTCTACAACACAAATATAGCCATTTTATTTACTATCCGAAACCACCAGTGAACCTACACAAGTCTTCTGAGTTTTTATATGTAATGTTGATGATGGAAAATAAGTTTTCTTTGGGGACTATTTTGCCTTACAACACCCTCCCCGCTATGCATGGTTAAATAAAATGGTTTTAGGCTAAAACGTATCTCCAAACTATTGTGAAACAGTGTTTCAGATATTACACAACAAATTCATTAAAAATTAATGTAATAACCTCTGCTTTTAAGGTATTAAACACTTCAGACGTCTGGATCCTGTCACTACCACAATGAACATATTTGGCTCTAGAAAGGAGCTTTTCACATCAAACCACTCTGAATGACTTTGTAAACTTTTTACCCATTTAAATATGAAGAAATCTTGAAAAAAATGGTTGAAAACTCATTTAAAGTTATCTATAAGCTATAGCCAGGGTCAGATTTTCCAGTAAAAAGTATGTTTTCCAACTCATCAACTCATTACCAAGCACTATATGATGTTAAAATGGATGTTGTAGAGCAAGGACAGCAGTGAACAGTGAGAAATGAGAAACCAAGAAAACCATGTTCCCAAAACACAGCTTATTTTTGGGGCGATTGGTTTTTATTAGATGATCCTCAGCAGTGCAATCACCCAATACTTAAACGGCAGTGAAGGAGGACAGACGTCTGCCTGCCTGTCCTGCTTTGCATTTAAAATATTCCATTTTTTTTGACTGCGATTGGACTAAATTTATGCAGACTGGTGATGAATATGGAGGTGCATTTTAGTGATGAATGCGTTGGTATTCATAATTCACTTTTCTGTTGCAATGCATTAAGGAATTAAACGCATGAATAACGAGGAAGGAATTGTGTGGCTAAAAATTAATCGGTGGCATTTCGTAACAGGGCTGACATTTTCCTGCTGTTTGTGTGGATGTTATTTTAAATGTCTTGTTTTGCTCGCCGCTAGTTATTGTTCTTCTACTTTAGGCTGAAAAACAAGTCAGCTTATGGCGTCTGTAATGTGAGTTGAGAATGAGAAAGGTTTCTAGTTAACTTTTGCTTAGCATTAATTGGAAAATGGCCTTTTTGGCACAAGTGTTTTTATTTCATTACAGCTACTTGCAGTTCTAGCGCCCTGTATTGGACCTGAACTTGTCTTAGAGATTTGAGCTGAAGGGGAAAGTGAGATTGGAGTCACCCACAAATATTTTCCACTTGGAAATTTTTTTGTGCCAGTGAACAGTGGTGGAATTTCAATCTGAAAGGCTCTAACTACCAAAGAAAGCAGGAATGTTGCTAATGTTGCTAACGTTATTTTTGAGGCTATCACAATCATGAAATTATAGATGACAATTCATTGTTGTATAAATAATTGCGATTAATGGTTTTATTGTCTTTTGCTGCTCAATGATTGAAATAAAGTACAGCCTAAAGTGGCCAAATCGGCTGATTAGCCATCTTGCTTACTAGCTATATTTGATTATTAGCTAATACTGGTTGTACTTTCAAAATGATACACGATATACTGTAAGTGTGAACACAAATGTCTACAGTCACACAGAATCATGTGTTGAGTCAAGCAAAGACTCATGAAAGTGAAAATATAAGGACAAAAACACTCACAGCGCTAGCATACATGCTAAATAAATTAGGGCTGTCGCGATCATGAAAATTCATTGCGATCAATTTAATAGTCCTTTTTGCTCCTTGATTGAGCTAAAGTATAGACTATAATTAGCTGATTAGCGGTTTTGCTTCCTAGCTATGTTTGAAAGCTAATACTGGCTGTACTGTCAAAATAATATACTATATACTGTTGAGTGTGCACACACATCTCTACAGTCACACAGAATTATGTGTTGAGGCAAACAAAGCTACACAAAAGTGAAAATATGAGGAGAAAGTGCTCAGTGTGCTAGCATACATGCTAAAAATGTTAGATTTAGCTAGCTAACCCAACAGATTACGGCTGTCACGATCATGAAAATTTACTTGACAATTAATTGTCATGTAAGTCATTGCGATTAACAATTTAATTCTCTTTTTCTGCTCTTTAATTGAACTAAAGTACCGCCTAAATTGGCGAATTAGCCATCTTGCTTCCTAGCTGTGTTTGTTTGCTAATATTGGTTGTAAAGTCTAAATGCTATGCACTGTTGAATGTACACACAGATCTCTACCGTCACACAGAATTAAGTGTTGAGTCGAGCAAAGCTACACAAGAGTGAAAATATGAGGAAAAAGTGCTCACTCTGCTAGCATACATGCTAAAATCGTTAGCATTAGCGAACCAACAAACAGATTACGGCTGTCACGCTCCTGAAAATTTACATGACAATAAATTGCCATATAAAAAATTGCGATTAACAATTTAATTGTCTGTTTTGCTCACTGATTGAACTAAAGTACAGCCTAAATTGGCTGATTAGACATCTTGCTTCTTAGCTAAGTTTAACAGCTAATACCGGTTGTACTGTCAAAATGATGTACTATATACTGTTGAGTGTACACACAGATCTCTACCGTCACAAAGAATTAAGTGTTGAGTCAAGGAAAACTACACAACAGTGAAAATATAAGGACAAAAAACACTCATTCTGCTAGCATTCATGCTAAAAACATTAGAAATAGCTAGCTAGCAAATAGATAAACACTATTGCACTCCTAAATAACTCTAATCATCTCAAATAATTGCAATTAGAAAATTGCAATTATTTATTACTTGTTACTTTCCCACTGATTTTTTATACCCCTCTCAACTAGCTGGTTAGCTAGCTAAATAACATTAGCTGGCTAGCTGGCTAACAGGGTTGGCTAATGAGAACAAGGCTACTTATTCTGCTAGCTTGTTGAGTAAGATTAGATTCAGACTTTGGATTGTGAGAGAGTTTTAAACAGCCAATATTGTTTAATACTAAATTTAAAAGAATAGTTTGGCAAACTATTATATTTACACCACATGTAGTCAACCAGCCACGTCTGGTGTTTAAATTGTGCTTCTTTAGCTTAGGGCTGGAGTTACATTGCTAACAAACACTAGAAGTCAATAGTCACCCAAATAGTTTTTGTAAATACATCCTAAAACTGAATTTTAACCCACTCGGTCCGCATCCAGGTCTTTATTAAGTGTGTGCAGACTTGATATGGTTTAGAATACAGTATGTTTTTCTGTAACCCATGAAAAATGAACAGAACTCCGCCGTGTAGCTGAATGCTGGGAGCAGCCATTTTAGACAACAGGCACCGAAATAATTCACATTTGCGTGAACAGATTACGTTCAGGATTTCTGTTATT